TCTGAGTCCTGGATCGACGTGCCGCCTACGGAAGGCGCCTTTGTTGTCAACCTTGGCAATCTGCTCGAACGCTGGACCAACCGCAAGTACCTTTCGAACGTACATCGGGTACTCAACTTCTCTGGTACTGACCGCCACTCTATTGCGCACTTGTACCACGTAAGTTCAACTACCAAGATTCAGGAAGTGAGGCAGCCGCTAACGATTCGTAGGGCAACCCTGACTACATGATTGAGGCTAAGAAGTCGTGCTACGACCCCGCCGTAGGTCCAGAATTTGGGCCCATCAGGATTGAGGAATTCGTCAGGGGTAAGTACGATGAAGTGTACGCAAGAGCGGGTGTCATTCCAACGGATCATAAGGCGCATTAGGCGGAGAAGTGTTCAGTGGCTGAGCGGGTCGTTTCCTTGTCTTTCTTTGTTTACTCTCACTCGCTAAGATTGCTTCGGCCCACCAGGAAGTCATGTTTTCCTTGGCTTTTCTTTGCATGTAGACGGCAAAGGTAGCATACCAATAAACATGTGTTTACGTCAAAGAAGTTGTCTTATCACACCACATCATGCACTATCAAGCCCTCTGCCATTAAATCCGTATCATCAATAAACACGTATGTCGGGATACATCTAGAACTAGTTGTGGGGTGAAATTGGACCTTGAAAGCTACATCAGCTTGGGCAGCGAGTAAACCCCGACTGTTTCCATTGTGTATACTCCAAAACGAGAACCACTTTTAGTTTATGACGCTACTGGCCTCAAACTTGGGTCGAAGAATGTGGGGATGAACGCCCGGGTACGGACAGAAACCGGTGATTGCATGCTAAACCTGTATGTCCTGCCATGTCTTTTTGACGCCCCTGACGCCTATCTGTAAGACAATCTGTTTCCCCGTATGACGAACTTCGCAATTAGCCTGCAGCTCATCGAGGATTCTGGTTCGATCGACTGCAGGACATGTAAGCTTCCAACTTTCACTCAATGTATCAGACCCATGCTGATCGCTTGGTGTGACCCCTACACGTACCCATGTATCACGACCTGCATAGCTTGGCTCATCATGAACGGCCGAGTATCTCGTAATGGAGACTTCGACGGTTTCGGCTGCAATTCCGTCAGCCGAGCGTGCGTTTAGGCGGTCCGTTATTGGTCTTGTGCATTTGTATGCGTACACCGCGGCATGGAGGTTCGTATCACCACAGCTTGTAGTGTCAGCTCTAGCATCGATCGCAGCCGATGCCTGCGATCTCCGTGAAGGTAAAGCATCATATCAGTGCGCTGAGTAGTTGGTATGATGTCACGTCGAGGGGATTCTTGACGTGCAACATCCTGGACATCGCTCATCTTCAGTAGGATCGAGGTTTTCGTAACGGCGATCTTGATGAACGAACTTTGCATGCTAATGTGTGTGCCAATGTTCACTCAATAGCATTTTTATGATGTCATTGACCAGAGCATCCGTGCTATGAGATTGTCACCCTCAATGACACTCCTGGACGACGTATAAGAAAGCGAAACAGCATCTTATCAATCTCTTCCTACGGCTTGAGTATCTTCAAAGAGTCTTAAGTATCATCCACGATGCCGTCTTTACTTCCCCTCCTCATCACCCCAGTCACGCAAAAGGTCGCACCGATTGAGAGTCTTTTGACAAGTCTTTTGCCGAAAGTGGCCAGTGGCCCACCACCACTGTTCGAGCCGACCACCCCGGCAAAAGACGGGCCGGAGTGCATTCAGGACTGTTCATCATGTGACATCACATACCCGGAGAAGTTCAAGATCAATGAGACCGAGAATTTGTACGGTACTGTCATGCCTTGGGAGAGACATCTCCTCGTTGCGACTGGCAAAGCCAATTGGATCAGCAATTTCATGAGTGAGGAAGGCAGCATCGGAGAAGCCATAGCCAAGACACATGGACATATGGTCGAGAAGGTAAAATAAACCCCTCCACATCAAAAGCGATGATGCCTAACAAGAGCCTCTAGAAGTTCATGCTTTCCGCATCCAACATCCCCGTACCGGACTACAGCGTCAACAAGAATCCCGACGACGAACCAATCTCTTCTGTCCTCCTTCTCCCAGCTTTCGTCATCGTTGATTGCGTCACACCATCCCGGACACCAGATCTCATATCACACCTCGTCAACCGCAGCCCATGCAATACCTCGTCATTGCTTCCGCTCAACTCGCTTAGCGTGCCGCCAGAATCCGGACTGAAGATACGCTCATGCCCACACGACTACCTCATCTTACTGTGCAGTCACCGGACCCGCGATGCCCGGTGCGGTCAATCTGCACCACTCCTGAAGAAAGAATTCGAACGCCATCTCCGGCAACGAGATTTGTATCGCGACTCGCTTGACGAGAGACCCGGGGGTGTGGGTGTTCACTTCGTCAGTCATTTTGGTGGGCACAAGTTTGCCGCAAATGTCATTGTGTATCGTCGGACACCGTTGCCATTTCATGGAGCAAAGGAGAGTACGGATGGCGCTGCATCACTTCCACTGAGAGAAGCAAAGCAGTGTATATGGTTGGCGAGAGTTCGGCCTGAAGATTGCGAGAACATCGTTCGGTACACCATTCTGCAAGGAAAAGTTGTCAAGCCTGATCGGCAGTTGCGTGGTGGGTTCGACAGGGAGCGTTGCGTTACGAGCTGGTGATGATTTGGGTTTCTTAGTATCGCGATTTGTCAATCATTGCAAGCGCCTTTCGCCCATAGTTCTAGTAATGAATGATATGATATCGTAATACTGTTGTAGTCACCCATGTTTGAATGCCTTGTACTTTGACTCACCACCAATCTCCTTGGGCATGCATCGCATCCGCCAGCTTGACAAACCCGGCAATATTGCTTCCCACAAAAAGGCTGGGTAAGTCTTCCGCGCGCATATCCGTGTAGTTTTTGGCGGCTTCAATACCGCTGTGAAAGCATGATTCGACAATGCGATACAGTTCAGCCTCGACCTGTGCGGCCGGCCAAGCGATGCGCTGGCTGTTTTGCACCATTTCGAGCCCTGACACTGCCGAGCCGCCAATGTTGGCACCCTTACCTATGGATTGGATCAGCGAGTTGATGAGACTTAGAGTGGTGTTGCCAAAGTACCTGGAGCAAACCACACACGTCCGTTCGGATTATCTGCCCTGCGCGATTCGAAGAGTTGGATAGCGTCTTGTGCGCAGCCCATGTTGCTGCCTTCGGCGATGAAGCGACAGCCAGCAGATATCAGTGCTTCTGCTTCGTCTTTGGACATTTCGTTCTGCGTGGCGGAGGGTAACGCAATATCGACTTCCTTCACATGCTTCCAGGGTCTTTCGCCTTCGAGATGCTCGAACCTTTGACCCTGCTCCATTGCCATGATGTCGGAAAGTGGAAGGCGTTTCTTCTTGATAGAGGCGATGAGGGCGATGTCGTCTTTTGTGAAGCCTTCCACAGAGATAGCTTTGAGCGTCCCCTTACTGTCGGACAGAGTAAGGACGACAGCACCCGCATCAATGGCTTTGATAGCGGCATACTGTGCGACATTTCCAGAGCCTGAAATCGCGACCTTCTTGCCACGCGTAGACTCAGCGCCATCGGAAGCGTATTCGATCATCAAAGAGACGTACTGTGATTGTACTGTTAGCGAGTAAATCAGGCCTTTTCGGTGCTTGACGTACATGAACCAGCCCAAAGCCAGTTGCCTCAAGCTTCATCAGACTTCCACCAAACGCATCTCCTTTGTTTGTGATGCAACCTTCCCACCTCGTAGTCGCCGCCTTGAATGCGCCAAACATCCATCCCACTTCGCGCCGTGTACAGCCAACATCACCAGCAGGCACGTCCGTATCAGCTCCAATGTACTTGCTCAGTTCGCGCATGAAAGACACGCAAAAGCGACGAATCTCGTGATCAGATTTGCCTTTGGGGTCAAAGTCTGACCCTCCCTTTGCACCACCAAGATTCACTATTGCGATGGTCAGAAAGATCTGGACATTGACTGACTGGAGATGTAAGACTTACAGCCTGTCAAAGCATTTTTTAGGGTTTGCTCGAGCGAGAGAAACTTCAGCACCGAGAGGTTGACGGACGGATGAAACCTCAGTCCGCCTTTGTACGGCCCCAGTGCTGAGTTGAATTGTACACGATAGCCGCGGTTGACTTGCACGCAGTTCCTGTCATCCTCCCAGATCACACGAAATTGAATGACGCGTTCGGGAACAGCAAAGACTTTAAGAGCATCTCTGTACTCTGGATGCTGTTTAAGCACCGTGGAGCCATCGAGCGATGACGCAAGGTCTGAGATGCGCGTTAGCAAGTTACGCACATCGACGATGGATATGAAGGTTCAGTACGCACCATTGTAGGCTTGATCAAACTCCGGTTCGAAGGAAGCCATGTTGCAGATACCGAAGACAGGATGGATGGAAGGCTAAAAGCGAGGGTTGCGCACTCAATTATGTACAATGAGCCGGCGACCTACGCGTATTTGTATACTCAAAACGTTTGTTCAGAACGAGCATAGCGCGCTATTACGCTATCGACCATGGCTGTCTGCAACATGCAACAGTGAATGCTGACTGCAGCATGTTGTACCATGCGAATCAGCGCTGTCCAGTAGGCACATGGGCGTTGCATCCCTCGGGTCCAGATGTTGGCAGGGATGTGTTGGCATCTTCATCATTAGCGAGGTCATCACCCAGTCGGCGTGTATGTTGATAAGAGAGATCATTAAAGGCGTCTAGGAGGGAAAAGGGGATGAGGAGTTGTGGCTGTTGAGCACGACCCCACTCTGCAGTGGCTAATGCCGAGGTATCCAAATCGGGTTAGCGTCTGTTGTCATCCCCTTTGTCGCCCTGGCCCCGATCCCCAAGTGTCATCGCTCACCACCGTACCATAAACGTACGTAGCAACAACGCATCTCGACTTTAATCGTTCCGAGTCTGACTTAATATTCCTCACAAGAAGATGCCGCAAGACCCTGAGCCAAGTTGGGTTGACTGTCTCGATCATGGAGACGCAATCGTCATAGCTTCGACCTGGCATGCTCTTCCCACAGCGGACGGAACGGATCTTCGAGTGGGCTATCGCGCATCTCAACCCTTCCTTTTGCCGTCTTGAATAACCGCGGTAGCCCGGTCTTCTCGAAAGGTACTCCATCTCGCACCATAGCAGCCAGACCCTTACTCGACAACAGTATCTGCGGCATTCCGTGACCATTGAACCCCGCGATGATGAATTGTCCTGGTTTATTTGGAACTGGACTAATGTGCGGCATGAAGTCTGCACTATAGCCCATGACTGTTCAATGCGTTAGTTGCGCATGGGCAGGAGACTACGATACTTGCTTCCAGTCCACACCTTCTTTGTCTGCGCTTGCGTATCCTCCCATCCGCGGAAGTGGCGCTGCATGTACCCGTCGAAGTAGGTCGTTGCTTCATCAACAAGCTCGTCATCGCGCACGGTGTCGAACCAGCGCTCAGGCTTGTGCCAGAACCGCTGCCTTGCACCTCCAACGATGATGCTTCCGTCTGCTCGGGGAATGAGATAGTCGTAATTTCGGCCGTCGAAACGAAGGGCGTAAGTGTTGTTGAGATGTGGTGCGTGTTGCTTCAATGCGCTGTCGATATGGCTGCAGACGCCGCGGATCGGAGTTATGCTTCGCGTGTATTCGGGCAGAACTTGGCTCGCGTAGCCGTTGGTGGCGTGGATGACCTTTGTGGCTTTGATAGTGCCGCGCGATGTTTCTATTATCCATCTTCCTGCCTCGTCCGTCGTGTCGGATACAGACGTCACTGGTGTATTTGCTTGAACATTGAGCTTATGGTCTTGCTCGAGTAGCTTCGCTAGCAATTGATGCACCATCTTTCGTGGCCACAAGTGCGCTGCAGTAAAGCTGACAGCCAGCTGAGCGCCCTTGACTCCCGATACCTTCGGAAGAACAATTAGCCTTACGATTCATACGTCTTTATGAAAGACAAGCGTGCTCACCCTCTCTGCATCTTCTTTAGAGACACAAGCTACGTCTCTTAGTTCGACAATATTATCCCTCCTTAGCATCTCCCACGCCGCCTCCGTCTGCCTGGCATGATCGGCATCCAGATACACATCGATCGCTCTCGTAAGATGTAAGTCACAGTCCAACTTCTCAGCCTCAACAAGCTCTTTGACTGCGTACACATTCGCCGCTTCAAATTTGTAACTTCCGCTGCAGCGCTCGCACCATCCATGGATACATATTTCGAGACGTTGAAGTAAAGGTCTGGCTTTACGTGCCCGCCATTGCGACCAGTGGCACCAAAACAAATCTTGCGAGCATCTAGAATGAGGACAGATTGCTTCGGGGACGACGAGGATGATGTGAGAATATTATAAGCTGTCGCCTAGTAGATTGCAATCAGCACATATGCGTTCGGAAATCAACTCGTGATGTAGACGTACAACCCCGGCAAATCCCGCACCGATGATTACAATGTCTGCCTCAGTGGAAAGGTCATCCGTACTCAGTAGGTCATCAAGAGGATTGGATACAGAAGTCCAGAATGAGTGTACGGGATCTGCTACCGGTGTGCGGTCGCTCTTCATGTTGCGATATCGATGTGTGCTGCATAAACGTACTTGTACCGGATCGCAGAAGACTGCCTATCAAAACCAAGGCCACAAATATTTTGCCCAAACGACGGTCTGACATGGTTACAAGAAGATAACAGAGCGTTTCCGACAACGGTACACGGGTATGCACATGATGAGGCACGGAGATGGCCGCGGCGCAAAGCGCGCTGGTGGTTCCCCCACTTCCTGAACATCTCAACGGCTGGAGTTCTCCAGGGTGCTTAGCGAGTTCTGCTCCATGATTCATTCTTATCGATGATAGAGTGGGGGATGCACTCGATAACGAGGACGGAGAACATTTGCCGAAACGTAGATCGGCAAGGGTGATTACTCGCTTGACTGAGGAGGTCATGCATATATCATCCCATCAAGTACACGAAGATGTTTAGCGGCGTTCTGAGCAATCCTTCTGCACGACGTTGACTTGGCATGACTGTTCAGCACTCTGAGTTTCTGCAGCTGACCAGATCGCGCGAGATGTTCTGACATCGCTATGTTTCGAAACGCAAACGGCTTAATTTGAGTCGGCATCAGATGCAGCTATGATACCACGAGCCATCTCGGGAAAGGAGTCCGCAGTCACATCCATCTCGCCGAAGAGATTGTCGCAACGAATCTTCTCCCATATCGTGCAATACGCAGCCTTGAATCTGTTGAATGGTTAATGGAGCTGCGCAGGTAGACGGGTAGTGCCAACTCACCCGTGAATCTTAGCAGCCGCAACATCCCAGTTATGCGCAGCTGCAAACCATTTCTCATCACTGCCCAGCTTCTCCATCATCATTTGGTACACTTTTGGATCCGGTTTACCAATCTTGGCCGTGTCGCATGAGATGAAGTTCTCCTTGGGCATATGGATACCATTGTGCGTGAAGTAGCCTCCAACACGCTCAACATCCCCAGCCGTCAACGCCCACACCGTGAAGCCAGCATCCCGGAGCAATTGGAAACACTCCGCGACACCAGGCCGCGCTTCAAGCTTCTTGTACTGCTCTAGGATGTATTGCAAATCCTTGTCGCTAGCGAAAGTTTGGGGTTCCTCGATGCCGGACATGTATAGCATTCGGTAAAAGAGGCTGCTGAAGACGTCGCGGAAAGCCATGTAGCGACCATTCATGCTGAGATAAGTGTACTCTCTTTCGGTGACTTCAATCCAGAGGTAGCCAAATAGTCGTGGCTTGATGCCTTCAGCACGCATCTTGTCGCCTAAGCAGTGCTCCAGAGCATCGAATATGGCATCATAGGAGACGCAGGTGCCGACAATATCGAACACTACATGTTTGCTGGATTTAGACATGACGGAAGTATTGTGTCTCGAGGAATCGGCTTTCCGTCGCGGTTTATGAGGCCTTGGAGTAGGTGGTGGTAGAGGGTGACAGCAGACCGTGCTTGTTGGTCAAGTTCGCATTCTTCGGATGGCTATGAAGAAGTACAGTATGTCATGGTAATTTCGGGGACAGAGTCGAGCGAATTGTCGGGTATGATAAGCGCTGCTCCACTTGCATCTTGGCCAGGTAGGGGCCTTGTCTTGGCGAACTCCGCATGATCATGATGCCAGCATTGCTTTGGGACACGCCCACTCACAATCCTGTTGGGTTTTACTAAGCTGATAGAGATAGATAGGAAGCGGGGTCATGGTTTCGCAACAGTGGCGGTCTGATTACGTCGTGAGTAGGATTGCGATAACATCGAGCTGTCAACGGGTGCCATACAGATAGATGGCGGGAAGGTTGCAGCCGTTCGACGTAGCACTAATGTATATGCTGTGAATCTGCTGTTTCTGTCAGTTGCCTGGCTTCACTATTCTCGTGTTGTTCCTCGGGCGCCCTGTCCCCCCTGCAAGCCTCAACGATCGAAGATCATGACTTCCAAAGATGGTGAAGCACCGGATCTGGCACAACGAGTTGCCTCTGATCCAAGCGATGAGAAAACCCCGAAAATACAATATGGAGAGGCCGAAGATGCGGCAATCATAGCAGCACTGCAAGGCTATGTGCCAGATACTGTGGAAGAAAAACGCTTGGTCCGAAAGATTGACTTCATCTTGCTACCAATCCTTTGGTGGATGTACATACTTGCCCATCTCGACAGGAGCAACATTGCCAACGCCAACGCGGCGGGCATGAGTGAGGAACTTGGCCTGTCGGATAATCGTACGTTTGCCAATACAGACCACACAACAGTGTTGGAGGTGAAGAAACTGACGGTGGCCAGAATACGCGATGCTCGTATCTCTCTTCTTTGTAGCCTACGTCATCTTCGAGGTTCCTTCCAACATGATCCTCATGAAGGTAAAACCGTCGATCTATTTGTGTAAGCGTACCCAATCAGCCGAGCGACGCTGAGTCAATACTGATAAACGTCGGTTCAGCCACGATCGTGTGGGTCTGGGGATGCGTAGTTCTGGGAATGTCGCAGACAAAGAGCGCAACAGGACTCCTCATTGGACGTTTCTTCCTGGGCGCAATCGAGGCCGGACTGTATCCGGGCGCGTTATTCATCCTGACCTGCTGGTACACAAAGAAAGAAGTTGGTCAGTACCTAGCCGATCTCTTTGGGATCTGACATGTGACTGACGTAATCCTCCAGGCAAGCGCTTTTGCATCTTCTACACCTCCGGCTGCGTATCTCCAGCACTGGGTGGTATTATGGCAGGTGCCATAATTTCCAGCCTGGACGGTGCTCGTGGTATTCCGGGCTGGCGATGGCTGCTCATAATCGAGAGCATCATCACCATTGCTTGTGGCTTTGGGCGTAAGTAATCTTCATACAGAAGGTGCGAACACTACTAATATGTCCCGTCCCACATGTCAGTGTATTTCATCCTTCCCAATTGGCCAATTGAATCCAAGATGCTCTCTCCGGAGCAACGCCTTCTTGCTCACGTCCGTATCCTCCGCGATCGAGATCAGTCCTGGGACATCGATGAGGCAGCCCTCACCCCATTCCAAGCCTTCCTTGCAGTGATTAGAGATGGACGGACATATCTCTTTATGGTCATCTACACCTCGAACTGCTTGGCCTTGACCGTTTCGTACTTCATTCCGACCATGCTTCGAGGAATGGGATATACGAGCACCAGTGCCCAATGGATGACGGTACCCATCTGGAGTTGTGGTGCCGTGTTTCAGCTGTTCTGGTGAGTAAACCCTTGTAAAGGCACGGCAAGAGACATCCACTAATCGTACACCGATTGGTAGGTCCTGGACTTCTGACAAGACCGAAGACCGAAGATGGCACAACGCTGGTCTGCTCGCTTTCGCCGGAGTTGCTACTTTAGTGGCTCTTCTTGTCAGCAACAATGCGGTCAAATATGCCATGCTATGCCTGCAGACTGGTGCGATGTACACAACGGTTCCTCTGATTCTCAACTGGACAAGCGAGGTCATGTCCCAACCAGCACGCAAGCGATCGATAGCCATCGCGCTGGTCAACTCTTTTGGTCACACGAGTTTCATATATGGAAGCTTTTTGTGGCCCAGCGCTGAGGGACCACGCAACCTGAAGGGATTTGCCGTATCGACTGCCGTTCTATGGCTTGGCGTGTTGATCGCTGCATTGATGCCAGTGGTTGCGAACTATTTGCCGAAGCCGCGATCTGATGGGGTGTTGCGCGGACATGAGGTCCACCTTGCTGACAACGACTCGGACCAACTCAAGAAACGGGATGAATAATCTGGGACGGACCGAAAGGCAGACGGGAAGATGCGTTCGATGGGAAAATGAAGCGAGGTCTGGTAGCGAAGATGGGAAGGAGAGATTCGAGGACCGGGGTCAGTGACGTCAAATGGTCTATGCTTATCATAGGCTTGCGGAACGCGTGTCGGAACGCCCGAAACGGTAAAGCGTGCCCTGTTCTCTCGCTCTCGCGTGCCCAGCCTTCCGACCTTCCTAGTCAGCTCAACAACGACCGTGAGCGCCGTGTCAAAGCTCGTCTCCAGATTCCACACACACAGTCGTCTTCAACTCATCGAAGCCTCCTGCCGATCTCCTGTTCATGCGCATCGCGGATGTTTGCCCTGGTAAGCGCCCGTGGACGCGCCGAACGGGCAGCGTGATCCCTAAAGCACAGGACGTTCGCCTGCACGACGTACAACAGTAGTGATGAAACCGTCTTACTCCAACGTCCTTGTTTGCTCCTAGATGTCGTATGGTAGCGCAACGCAAAATCGTTGCCCAAGGCAAACAAACCTGATTGTGCGTTCATCGCTTCAATATTGGCTTTCAGCAACAGTCCCCATGTGCACAAATTTAGACTTCCCTAACAGAAATAGAACTCTCTTGGGAGATTGGCCAACCATGCACCGCATAGTTTACATGACCACAACTTTATTAACCCTACGATGTCATTAACGACGCCCTTCGATATCGTCAACGCTGAAGCGCTCGCTTCTTGAAGCAGCAGCATGAGCTTCGTATTGTGCGCCACTTCGGTCGAATAATTATGGGCCCACATTGGGCACAAATACTATCTTTCATGTGAAATGAGTGCTCGTGGATGGGCGCCTCCAGCTTCGCCAGGTCCTACACACCCTCGAGGTTCGGCAAGGTCAGTACGATGTCTACGCGTCGGAGTCAGCGATCACCACGACATGCACCCTTTGTGAACATGAGTAATTCTAACTACGCTGACTTCGCAACTCGTTCTCCACCTCGTTATCGGGCATTAATCAACCTGAGATCATCAACGGCATACCCTACGCTCTTGGGGTGTAACGGCGTTCTGCTGCCCAGCTTTCCGGTAGCCTTATTGGTGCTGTAACTCTCACGTTGTTGGCTACGCTTCAGAACACGGGCGGTGGTTCAGCAGCAAGAGCCCTTGGGAGATCGATCATCACCTAACTAGGTACCCAAGGCGAACATACAACAGTGCTTCGGTACTTCATCGCGACACGTCGGGCCTTCTGTGTGCTCTCCACATGATTGACATTGCCACTTGCCTCGGCTGCGAACATTCCTTTTTCTCAACTGCCGTCCATCACCATAGGGCTGTGCGAGCTGCGGAGGAACCATCAGGTCATCGCACGCGGTTCGCAAAGCGCAGAAGTTACCAAGGCCGCCTCAAATTTTCGGTTACCTGGTAGTATACTTTCATCAGCCAGTAGACTTCTAGTGCACAGTCATTCTCAGCGTATTTGTGACATCAACTACCGAAACCCTTTTTTGTATAAGGTTTGAGATAGGTCCGAACCTTGAGGCTCCAGGGTCTGCGGGGATCAGGGTCCTTCGGGTGCCGGGCTGGTAGGATTGACTTCGATCGCACATGGCTCCCAGTCGAGGCAAAAGGTAATGTGAGTAACGGTGATACAGGTTCAATTCTCAGAGAAAAGTATATAATGCCGTCCCGTGCTTATCCAGCTGTACTTCACTCCCTGAAGACCAATCTTTGCATTCTTCATCATGTTGAACGAAACTATTCACGACCTGCTGGTCACTGACAAGCCCAGCCTTGTTCAAGGCGCAATGTCAAATGCCTACGTGCTTCGCTGGAAGCTCGTCGGGGCCATTGTGGTCCTCATGGCTGTTACTCAGATCACCAAAATGATCTACCGGGCCCACATCGACCCTCTGCGGGCCATACCCGGACCTTGGATCAGTTCAGCAACATCAGCCTGGATCCGCTGGCAGCGTTGGCATGGCAGACTGTCCTTTGAGGCAGACAAGCTCATGACCAAGTATGGACCCATCGTCAGGATCGCACCGAATCTCGTCATTCTCAACGACTCCGAGTCAGTGGAGAAGATCTTCGTTAGGAAAGATCTCGACACTTCGCCAAAATCCATCCGAGCCCTTCGTGTCGGCGGCCATGACTGGACTGTCACGTACCCTCAGCATCCCATCGCGCGGCAAAGACGTCACCCTGTCATGATTGCTACCACAACAAAGAACATGAAGTTCTGGCACGACACCTTCGTCACCAACATCGAAGCCATGGTTCGCAATCTTGGGAAGACAGAGGGTCAGAAGTCAGAAGACATTGTCTACCACCTGCGCATTTGCACTCTCAAGAACTCTCAAGTCGTCATGGGCGGCACAGGTGTCGACCTGGAGTCTGACGAGTTCCCACACGTTGTCGGCGAGTACAACTTCCTCGTTGTTTGGCGCCTGTGCCTCCCAGAGTGGCTATTCACATGGCTCCAATACGGCCCATTCGCCCATCCTCGTTTCCGCGTACGATCCAGTGACAAGCTCTTCGACCTAGGCGCAGAGCTGTGCAAGCAGGCCAAGGCTATAGCCGAGGACTCAACCGCCAACGTCTTCCAACTCTTCACGGATCCAGACGCAAAGTACCCCCTCGAGGATTCATGGACAGACCCAGAGATCGGCGCGGAGATGGCAGGCCAGGTACTTGCTGCTACCGAAACAACTTCCTCGGCCCTCGCTTTTATATACTACGAGTTGTCAAAGAACCCAAGCCTTCAAGAAGAGCTCTACGAGGAAGTTGCCGCGCACGAGGGCTACGAGGAGCTTGACTCCTGCAAACTTCTCTGTGCATGCATCAACGAAGGTCTGCGTTTCCGCCCACCAGTTGCCCTTACAGGTTCCCGCCTCGTACCAGATGGTGGTATCAACGTTCTAGGTCACCACCTCCCCGCCGGCACGGTCGTCACTACCCAGTCGCTCAGCATGTCTCGTCAGCGTCCCGACCTCTTCCCCGATTTCGATACCTACAACCCGCGACGATGGCTCGTCGAGGATGAATACAGCGCTGAGCGAAAGAAGCACCTCGTTCCGTTTGGTGTAGGAGCGAGACGCTGCCCAGGAGGCAACATGGCGACATACCAGATGCGAGTCATCTTGGCGGCTACATTCAGGGCGTTCAAGGTTGAACTTGCGCCGGAGACAACGCCGGAGGCGATGGCGCCTTTTGAGGCGAATGGATACAGGAGCAGGCACGATCGATGTGACTTGATCTTCAAGCCCAGGACTGCGTGATGATGGGTGCTGTGGCCGTCGATTCTCTATCTTCTTTTCTTTTCTCTTCCATTTGTCTGTCTTAGTAGTTGCGTCACTCACTTGACCGAAGCGTGCCGAGTGTGCGGATGGTTCTGATCATTTGGAACACATCTGATCGTCTCCAAGAAGCAAGGGATGCGCCTGTCACTCAAACTACAAGATATACCCAAGTAGTGCTTTTCAGAGTACATGGAAGTTCATAAAATGACAAATGCAAGCGTCGCATTACTCATAAATATAGTAAAACAAACGTCAAAATCTGTGCTCTACAAACACTGCGTGCTTCGGTGGCTGGAGAAAGGAAGATGGCTGCTAGTTCCTTAAGGGCAGGTAGGTGCGAGTGATGACGCGTACCCAGTGACGTCATTACATGACTTGCGAAACACCACCACTTGCCAACGTGCGCACAAGCTATCCTCATGATGTAAAAGCTAATAACGAGGGTTATGGCGGGATAAACCTCATCTCAAGTATCCCGCTGCAGCTCGCCCAACATTTCCTCGCCGTTGAAAAGCTTTGCGACCCTCATGTTCTTCCAGTCTTTCCCATCGTCTCCGCTACATACGGCAATTTTGGCATATGCCCAACCAACAAATTCATTGCCATCTTGCGAACTTCTGTGACCAGTCATACCGTCGTACTCATAATCAATAGCTAGAGTCTTTGGTCGCAAGGTGATGCTGCTGGAAGAGTCGGGAATCAACTGGTAAACCGGAAGTGGTATCAGTTCCAACACGCTAGTGGCGTGTTGTCCTTGCGCTTTCTGCTGCTCAATGTCAACGTTACGGTGATCAGTCGCGATCTTGATTCTCTCTTGCACCGTTGACAACGAGAACGGTTTCGCCTCCTGTATCAGTTCTAGAAGAATGGCTGTGAAACGTTCCATGTAGGAATCCGAACCACAGGGCGTTGACACCTCACGATCACAGGCTGCCAAGATCTCGTTCCTTCCTTGAGGCGCGGCCTTGATTGCGCTACCGGCATAACAACAATCGAGTACCTGAACCACGTCGCATGTGGCCTCGTAGAGATGAGGCTGCACGGCGTTCCAATTAATCTCCGAGCCATTTCCGCCTCTAGGAGCAGATCTGTCAGCGAGTGTAGATAATGGCCGGGAACATACTTACGAGAGTACACATTGGCCGGATTGGTGGTTGGTCTTCGACCCATGACCGTTGTACGCGACGATCAACAGGTCGCTGCTACTCAGATCGTCCAGTATCTGTATTATTCTCTTTACGACCTTGGATAGTGGTGCTTCACCTGCGGGTATCTCGAAGATCGGCTTTACTTCGCAGTTATCGAAATTTGTCCTGAAAGCATCGCTAAACTTGCGCAGCTCCTGAGAGATCATGGACGTATTGATGAACCCATCTTTGAGCCACTTCAAAGGTAGGACAACGATTCTTCTGTATCTTCCGTCCCGCGTGCCCAAGTCCGTATGAAGCCTCTTGTTCTTGTTGAACACTTGGCAGAATTCGTTGAGACGTTCGTTGCTGGTCTTTGCTTTTGTGGACTGCAACAAGCCTGGAATTGTGATGTCCTTAACGAACGACGGGAGCTTCTTTGTCCAGCTTGAGATGTTTTCCAAGTCGTTCAAGTTTGCCACATCTACTTGGACTGTCATATGATTCAGATTACTATCACCACTCCTTCCCTCTGGGAGAAGAAACTTGAATGCTTTGATCTGCCTTGGGGCTCTATCAGCCCATTGTTTGAGACCTTGCTGGTTGCTAGCATCCATAGACGTTTTGATGAGCAAGTCGATGTCAACTCTCTCCAAAGGTAAGATGGCAATGCTTGAACGGTCGTTGCCGCGGGATAGATTGACGTATACAGGGTCGAAAGGATTGCCGAGCCTTCGGTATATGGATTTGCGAAGTTGGTCGATATAGACATACTCTCCATGCGCCTCGGAAAGGGTTCCAGTAAGGGCTCGTCGGAAGGACGAGTCCTCTGCGCTCATACCGCTCGGCGTAGCAAGGACCTCCAATCTCCCAATAGGTACTCTGGTGACACAGTGAAAGAAGGAGCTACTTCTCCTATGACGATCATCAGATGATGCAGGAGCATAGCTGCAGTCGAAAAGAAGTGCGACATCACATGAGTTGAGTTCAAAACTCTCTTGTAACAGGGACCATTCCACTTCTGGGTGTGGCTGTGGCTGCGATTCAGGGCTTCTATAGGTATGTTAGTAGCCGATCAAGTGATTTTCTGTCCCATATCTTACGGCAGCCAAAACTGAGAGCCATTCTTGATGTTCCCGTGTCCAGAGTAGTAAACGAGAGCGAGACCTGAGCTGCTGTCGATAGAATCGATGAATGCAAGCACACGGTCGTGAAGAACAGTTTGAGGATCTTCCAGAGGAATTTCGAAAGACTCTGTTTCGAATCTGTATCGCTGTTCGAGCAATAACTTCAGATCTTCAGAATCAGATCTTCGGTCGGGTGATGCATCTTCCCAGAGGAGAAACAGCGCTTTCGCTCGGGCATGAAGATTCGATCGCTTTGGAACGTCTTCTCCGAGGGATTTGTTCCATTCCTGGACGATAGCTTGCGAAACAGAATGCGTCATCGAAGCTTTGAACTTCTAAGATTTTGTGGCGCCAATCTGTAGAAGGCTGCGGGCTTTATACGGGGCTGGACGATGTCGCGATGGAACTGGTGTTTGGCGGCGATTATGCGTATTGATCTGTTCCCACAGCTGAACAGCAGGAACCATGAGAAAGAGTCTGCACCAATCGTCAGCCACATACTCTTGGGCCGGTGTTGCTTCTGCATGGGCGGTACTCTCTGAAAGCTGAATGGCTGCATCTGGACGGCGGCGCTGGAGGACGTGCGCCAAGCTATGTGCTCTATCTAATGACAGGCTGGATGAAGTCTCACCGGAATTCAGCTGAAGCGATACAGCCTGGATGAATGCGCCGAGGTCAGCCTTCATGCATTGTGAAGCTAACCGAGCGACTCGGCACGGAGATGCTCATCAGCCACAACATCGTGTAACGACTCCATTCGCCATTCTGACCTTCATGACGTATCTTAACGGGCATCAGGAACTGGAAACGGCGATTACTTGCGACCCCGCTCCGCATCCTAGTTGCCTGCTTTACATGCGCCCAAGGCTGAGTCTTGCGCACATGCGATGGCGATACTGCACAAATTGGTTGTTACTGAGACCTCCCCCGAGTGAATCTCAGAACAGCGATTAATCGATTTACCCTTGATAGCCATTACCGATCTATCGAAACTTTCTAGAGATGTCGACGAACACGCCTAATTCTGCTATCCTCCGCCGTTCCATGTCTCCCCCCGGACCAGATGCTAGCACTGCAACAGCTAGAGTCGCAGTCGTGGGTTCAATGAACATGGATTTCATCAACCTCATCGATAGCCATCCTCGTATTGGCAGTCATGTGGTAACAACGAAAAGCCTACGATTTCCGGGAGGCCATGGTGTCAATCAGGCTGTAGCTTGTGCGAGGCTGAGTGGCGTTCCCCGAGCCTTCTTGCTACAAGCTGACTATCGCCCGGATAACGCGATGTCTGTTCCATCCGGCGTAGAGGTCTTCATGTTCGGAGTCGTAGGGGGCGACAGAAATGGCAAAGATATCAAAGTAGGACTGAAGGAAAACGAAGTGAACATCGACGGCGTCCGCACTATTGAGGAGGAAGACACGGGGTACGCTCATATAGGCGTGAACCTTGCTGGTGATCCCACGGTCATCGTCACACGGGGGGCTTACAGCAATTTCGTTCCGGGACCTTTATTCGACCCCAAGATCACCCCGAATGTTGTTCTCGTATCCCTGGAAATTCCCATAGAGATGGTTGTTCATGCGCTTGCGTGGGCGAAGGAGCACAAAGCAATGACGATCTGCAACGCGGCCCCAGCAACATCCTCGGTTCCAGACGAGATCTTCCAAGTCGACCACTTCATAGTGAATGAGCAACAAGCCGACATCTTGAACGGCATCGAAGGTGTTCTCTTCGACGATCGGTTCGTTCAGCAAAAGGATATACGTCAACACTACCAAGAGCTCTGCGAGAAGTTCCATAGCTATGGGGCTGCGTGTGTTGTGATCACAATGGCTGAACTTGGAGTGGTCGGATCGGAGAAGGACCCAGTGTCAGGTATACGGCAGCAATACATATTTGCCGCCGAGCAAGGGAAAGGTCTTCCAGTCGTGGATACTACCGGAGCTTCTGATGCTTTTATTGGAGGTTACACGGTGGAACTCGTGCATCAAAAGCAGGCAGGCCTGAGGCAAGACATAGCGTCGGCCATGAAGCTCGGAATCAAAGCTGGGGGGTTGACCGTTAGCAAAGTCGGGTCGATGCCTGCATTTCCTTTTCCCAAGGACATAATGAAGACCACCTTCTGCGCTGCGCCCGCTCCGAACGCCCGAGGGTAGTAAAAGAATGTACTGAGGCCGCAGGATTGCTATAACGTATCCCGTGATTGCAAAGGCTCGACACGTTCGATTGCGCAAGCTTTTCTACTTCCACCTCCGCATGCGCGATGCGTTCTGGAGCATGTCGATGGCCTTCCTCGGTTGCATAGTTTCGCCACAGGGATCTGTTGTCTGAAGAGCGGACTGGAACTAGGAAACTGCTCTAGTTTATCCAAGAGATACCTAGATGGAGCGGTCAGTCACCAAATATCAACTCACGCCATCCGACAAGCAACTGACTTATCGATGACATACGTTTTACTTCGATGTTGCGCGAAGGCAGTCCAAAGCTTGGAAGGAACTTCGACCTCAGGAACGCTATTAGACATCAATGCGCCAAAGCTCTGGCTTTGGACGAAACACATGGTCATGTCGTCTCTCGTCATTGGGAAATGTAATGGCCGAAGCCTCCGCCGACGTTGGAATGCGTAGTAGCGACAAGAAGACGCGGGCGGCTAGCCCCCTGACATCTACAAGTGATGACGCGTCTCTACTGACGTCATCCAATGACTTGCGAAACACCACCTCAAAGACACAACGCTACACGCGGACCAGCCAATGTCCAGACACGACACAAACCAGAACCTCTTTCGCTATCTGCGCTGGGATATGGCACATGCACGCGGCCATTCCAGCCCCGCGGCCGATCCACAACGCGGGGACAGAGAGCTGTCTGCGGGGCTTTCGATAGGGCCTCAAGTGACATCTTGAAGCAGGCTTCCCATCACTCTCGGAGCAATCAGATTACTTTCCAACCTCGCATATCACTCATCCAATGCCCTTCGCATGGACGACTACGTCGACACCTCGGCCGCAGCCGCCTTCGCCTTTGTACCTGTCATGCCGTCCGGGTCCTTATCAGCGCAAACGCCACAGCCGTACTCCCATCGCGCATCATCGTGCGTGTGATCTGCGTATGCGTTGTTTCAGACGCACCATATGCGGCACGCGGAGCTTAACGAAAGCTTGATAAAAGCTTGGAAAGCTTGGTCGCATGCTTGTAGGCCCATGATCGCGGCTGCGACAATCCGGCCGGTGTGACCGCCTGTTCCTGGTCGAGCGCTGGTGATTGGAGCGTTTGCAGTTGGGCAGGTAGGTTTGCTTCTTTCAAGGTGGGCGTGATGCATGCGTTGGTTGGAAGGCACGAAGGTACTTATGCTGCCTCGTCGTCGTTGCTTCGAGAGGAGTAATTCTTTCTTATCTTTGTCTTGTTGCATCAGTGTTGTAACAAGAATTTCGTCACTCGCATCCAAGAATCCATCAAATCCAGCAACCCAATATCAACATGGCATCTCTACAACGCCTTGCGATCCAGCGTAGCCCAGCCTACAAGCCCGCTGGGGTCAAGAGCTACGTCTACGCCATGACAAAGTGTCCGTCACCTATTCCCTACATGTTTCTCCTTCACCATTCAACTGACACGCGTAGATGGCTTCCACCCTACAAAACCCGGCCCGTATTTCCAAGCCAAGGTCATGTCGCAGCAAGGCAAGTTCGGCCGAATCGGCGGCCGCATGCGATCACGCTACGTTCTCAAGAAGCGCAACGAAACATCGGCACCAGGTGGTGCGCAAAGCAAAGCCGCAGCCCCAAGCGACGGTACTCCGACTGAAGGTGAAGTACCCGCCGAAGACATCCAAAACGACTCCTTGTATCTCTGCGAAGTCGGCGTTGGAACACCCGAACAGAAGATCTACCTTGACTTCGATACTGGATCTTCGGATCTTTGGGTATGTTGTGTTCGTTGACGAGTTGATCACATCACTAAGATATACAGGTCTGGTCCACCGAACTCCCCAAGAACATCCTCAGTTCAGCAGATGCGTCAAAGCAGCAGGTCGCTTTCGACCCCTCAAAGTCAAGCACATTCAAGAAACTTGACGGCGAGACATGGAAGATCTCGTACGGAGACTCGTCTTCCGCAAGCGGTGACGTCGGTACTGATGTCGTGAACCTGGGTGGTCTCAAAGTCGAGAACCAAGCTGTGGAGCTTGCAAAGGAGCTTTCGCAGCAATTTGCGGAGGGCAATGGAAGCGGACTACTTGGTCTGGCGTTCAGTTCCATCAACACTGTTTCCCCAACCCCTCAAAAGACGCCCGTCGACAACATCATCGCACAGAAGAGCGCTAAGGAGCAGCTTTTCACCGCGTACCTTGGTAGCTGGCGCGACACGAACGAGGCTGACAAGGGAGAAGTATGTCATTCGCGCCATTAACTCATACTTTCTTCTGACAGGCCACCAGAGTTTCTACACCTTCGGTTTCATCGACCAAGCCGTCCTAACCGCCTCGGGCGCCTCCTCCCCCAACTACGCCCCCGTAGACTCCAGCCAAGGCTTCTGGCAAATCGCATCCACCTCCGCGACCATCAACGGCCAGACTGTCGACCGATCCAGCAACACCTCAATCATGGACACCGGCACCACTCTCTGCCTCGTCGATGACGCCCTAGTCGACGCCGTCTACAAAGCCATCCCAGGCGCCAAATACGACCAGAGTAACCAAGGCTACGTCTTCCCCACTTCCACCGCAGCAGCCGATCTTCCTGAGATCAAGCTTGCGATTGGAGACGCGATGGTGACGTTTCAGAAAGAGGACTTGGGCTTCGCTGACGCTGGAAACGGTATGGTGTACGGAAGCATCCAGAGTAGGGGGTCTATGGATATGGATATTTATGGTGATGCTGTGCTGAAGGCTATGTACGCGGTAAGTTGTGCTGAAACTGTTGCTCCATTCTGGAAATCATACTAATGTAGTATTCTAGATCTTCGACATGAATAATGGATCGCCGCGATTCGGTTGGGTGCAGAGGAAGGAGAAGACTCAGAATACTGATGCGCCGCCTTCGTAGTGGACTTGGAGTGCGCTTTTCAACAGAGAGGATGAGCTCAGATTCCTGGCTCGAGCTGAGTATGTCACTACCCAGTGCATGATATAGCAAGTAGCTTCAGGTTATGACATGAATGTTGCTATTGCCAATGATTAATGCGCAATGAACATACGAATGCTCATTTTCTGTCTCTTACATCACACGTTAACTTATCATCATGACTACAACATAGTCCAAGAAGGTCCTCTATACTGCAATAAAGTACGCTTCCATATACATCGTATTCCAATTCTGGGAAAGAGAAGCACCAACTTTTGTCTCGCAGTAGAGACAATGTATAGCGAACACTGAAACCAGTAGCCTCATCTTCTCATTCCAACTATACAGCTACGCACCAGACGGTACCGGACTACATCATACACCCATTCGACTTGCTAGAATGCAAATCCGAAACATCCAAGCGTATCCTCCGTCCCTCAACCGTCAGATAGCTCTCAACCAGCCACTCATACCACACCTTGCGGTCATCCGTCTGCCTCCAGAAACTGACTTCGACCTCTGAGTTGGCGGGTAACTGCATGGGGGTCTGCAACACGAATTAGCCGCGATCCTTATTTCCTGTAATCAGTGAATAACATACCTTGAGTGGGAACAAGATGGGGAACCAAGAAATCATATCTTTGCTCTTCGCTTCCATAGTCACTGGATTCGTGCTCAACTCCACCGGTCCTTCCGAACCGCTGTACAGTACTGTTTCGAAGTATGCGCCGAGACCATGGCATACACCCGGTTCCTGAATAGGGAAGGCGATGCGGCAGTAGCGCAGGTTATGTTCATTTGCGCCGTCGCCGCCGCTGAAGCCACCACCGCCGCCTATCGCCGAACCGCCTTTCCTGAGCGAAGATTGTGCTAGAACGGCGGGAGGAAGGGGGTGTGTGAAATCCCAGGCTGTTTCAACCTTGGGTGTAAGGGGGGCCTCGAGGTTGAAGTGTTGCATCCTAGTGCCGTTGCTGAGTTGTTTGGATGCGACGGTTTCTTCGGAGGAGGTGGAGAGGTAGTCGAATTGAGTCAGCATGACTACCCATGGGATATCGAAAGCGTTGGGATCGACGCTGGTACTTCTAGTATACAGGTCGGACCAGAGCTTTGGCGTGGAGATGGGAGTGAAGTGCGCGGTGTAGCTGGAGGGTATCGAGATGCCGTGAGTAGGGTTCAGGACATGTTGCACACCGTCGAGACATTCGGGTGATAGCTCATTGTCGGCGAAGGAACCGAGAAGCTCGCTCACGAGGATGTCAACTTTGCCGAACGTGCCGTCGGCGAGAGTTGGGCCTTTCCAGGCGCGCATGTCGGTCTTAACGACTGTGACGCGTCCGCCCCAGGTTTCGATGTTGTGCCGTTGAAGCAGTACGTATGCGTTAGGATTCTTCTCGATGGCGTAGACTTGTACGGGTACACCGGAGCTTGCGCTGGCATTTAGCGCGCGTGTCACAAGCGGACCTCGACCGGATCCTACGACTGCGATAACGACGGCACCGTTGCTGGAACTGGTTGATTTGCTCTCGGCATGCCAGTCTTTCAGCGCCTGAGCGATGGCGCGCTCGTACCACGCGTATTTGATTGGATCCTTTTCAAACACCTCGTATGTAATAGATTCGAGGTTGTCCGTCAGGGGTTGCAGTGGGCTCTGGAGATAGTCCTGGAATCCACCACCGAACCGTTCAATCTGGCTCTTAGGAGGCTGATTGCGCTGCAGGTATCGCATGTAGCTCAAGTGAGGAGTCGGGTCGTTGTTGCTACTGCTCTTCTTGGGAAGCTTCTTTGCAATCTCGGCTGCTTCAGCTGGTGTTGGTGCGACTGTTCCTGATGATCCTGGACTCGGTGCATCTTCTACAGTGCGAGGGGATAGATGACCCGTGGAGTACGACATTATCATATCGGGGTCATCAATGCCTGGTAGTTGGCCAACATCCGAGATGAGTAGCCAAGGCCCGCGCTGCAGGCGCATGCAACGGAAGATGAAGACCTGGTGTGCTTTGGACAGGACGTAAGATTGACGAGCGTTGACTAGGAAAGAGGAAGCGTGCAAGTTGAGAAGTCGCACAGGCTCGGAGAACCAACGTGACTGAACAGCCAAGGATGGCAGGCGACGCGGCATATCGAGCATGACTGCTAACCTGTTATGGTACTTGCAAATCGATCGAATGGTGTTCCACGCATCCCATGAGCTCCAAGAATCGACGTTCTTCGACTCACTGCTGGCCTCGAACTCAGGTCTTGCGAATCGCGCTAGGTCTCCCACGTCGTCCTTGCTGGAGTCTGACTGCGTTCCATCCATGGGTAGTTGGATGTGCAGCTGGATGTAAGATCCAGTGACAAGCGCCTCCTTGATAGAACGAGCATACTGAGATACGCCAGTCTGGCCGTGGGCGAGTCTTGGTCCAGGGATGACCAGATTGGTAACGCCGCAGAAAGCTGCATAGGCAACCTCGAGGTGGAAGACTTGGCGCGACAAATGGGAGATGATCGGGTCGGGAGAAGACAGATCGATCCACGAGCTGGTGAATGCTACCAGTTGACTAATGATCTCATTCGGGCTAAGTGGTGTATCGAAATTGTCCAAGGCAGGTATCAAGGGCAGCGGTTGGGATTGCGACTCAGCGAGGGCTTGGGTGTAGGAGTTGAGCAGACTCAAGACGCGGTTCTGGAAGTGGTCGTTGGTGATGGTGCTAGTGAGCATATCATACTGGAGGTCGTCAGTAGAGTTCCTGCTAGTCTTGGAGGTACTTACTCCGAGATCTTGGGCATGCTGCACCAACTCGGGCGCGACGTCCAGGGTACGCTTCGACTCATGTTGGCCAATATAGAATACGGGCGCATGTTCGCCCATGCCTTCTGAGTAGTCCATAACAGTATCGGGGTTAGTCAGGCCAAGATGAGAAAAAGTGTTAGTGGAAGAAAAGTTGGTGAATGTTGCGGACTACCGCGGGGTCAGCAAAGTCGCGGATGCAATGCTGCGGCGCGCGACCAGGGATGCGGAGCGGGATCACAGCGGCAGGGGCGTGAATTAGAGAGAAGGAGCCACCAGGGGTGGAGAAGGTATATTTACTACATGGCGGCGTGTGGATATTGCTGTGGTGCCTTGCAGCCTGTCGTCGATTGCGCCAAGCGCGAGCAGTCGCGGTAAGTGGAGCTAAGGGCCCGTCGCATAACTTTTTCTGGGACGGCGAGTGCAGGCGACACCGACACGCGCAAACGCCCCAGCACCACAATGACTGCCATGACGAAGCGCGAATACGGCGACGACGACAGTGCCCGCGTCAAGCGCGTCAAGACCGAGTCCAACGGAGAGGGCAAGATGGACGCGGCGGCGAATCCCTACCTGGCGCACTGGAACGACGACAAGCCCGTCAAGAGCGAGTACAGCGGCAGCGGCACCGGCCTCCAGGGTTTCAAGAAGCATGCGACGACGACGGCGCAGGCCAACGCCGCCGAAGACGGCCCCAACAACGCCTTCACCGGCCGCCCGCTCTCGAGCAAGTACATGAGCATCCTCAAGAAGAGGCGAGACCTGCCCGTCCACCAGCAGCGCGACGAGTTCCTCAAGCTGTACCAGGAGTCGCAGATCCTCGTCTTCGTCGGTGAGACGGGTTCCGGAAAGACGACGCAGATCCCGCAGTTCGTCCTTTTTGACGACCTGCCCCAGCAGAATGCCAAGATGGTCGCCTGCACCCAGCCGCGCCGTGTCGCTGCCATGTCCGTCGCCCAGCGTGTGGCCGAGGAAATGGACGTCGAGCTGGGCGAGGAGGTCGGATACAGCATCCGTTTCGAGGACAAGACGGGGCCCAACACCATCCTCAAGTACATGACGGACGGAATGTTGCTGCGCGAGGCCATGAACGACCACAACCTCACGCGCTACAGCACCATCATCCTGGACGAGGCTCACGAGAGAACCCTGGCTACCGATATCCTCATGGGTCTGCTGAAGGAGGTCGTCCTGAGGCGGCCGGACCTCAAGCTCATCATCATGAGTGCTACGCTCGATGCGACCAAGTTCCAGAAGTACTTCCACAACGCGCCCCTGCTCGCCGTACCTGGACGAACCCACCCCGTCGAGGTCTTCTACACGCCTGCCCCCGAGCGAGACTACGTCGAAGCCGCCCTGCGCACCGTCCTCCAGATCCACGCCACCGAGCCCGAAGGCGATATTCTGCTGTTCTTGACTGGTGAGGAGGAGATTGAGGATGCGTGCAGGAAGATAAACCTCGAGGCCCAGGACCTTTCTCGTGAAGGTGGTGCTGGACCATTGGTCGTATACCCGCTGTACGGAACTTTGCCGCCTGCACAGCAGCAGAAGATCTTCAACCCTGCGCCTCCGCCCGCAACACACGGCGGCCGCCCCGGACGCAAGTGCATCGTTTCTACCAACATTGCTGAGACATCTCTCACTATTGACGGTATCGTCTACGTCGTGGACCCCGGTTTCAGCAAGCAAAAAGTCTACAACCCCCGTATCCGTGTCGAATCCCTCCTCGTTTCGCCCATCTCCAAGGCCTCAGCACAACAGCGAGCTGGTCGTGCCGGACGTACGCGTCCCGGTAAATGCTTCCGCCTGTACACCGAGCAAGCCTTTAAGAAGGAGCTCATCGAGCAGACCTACCCTGAAATTCTCAGGTCAAATTTGGCTAGCACCGTTCTTGAGTTGAAGAAGCTTGGAGTCGACGATCTGGTACACTTCGATCTGATGGACCCGCCTGCGCCTGAGACCCTGATGCGTGCGTTGGAGGAGCTCAACTACCTGGCATGTCTTGATGACGAGGGTGAGCTGACCACACTCGGAGGACTCGCCTCGCAGTTCCCTCTGGATCCCGCATTGGCAGTCATGCTCATCACATCGCCCGAGTTCTACTGCTCAAACGAGATCCTATCGCTTACTGCGCTCCTCTCTGTACCCCAAATCTTCGTCCGTCCAGCCAACAACCGAAAGCGCGCAGACGAGATGAAGGAGCTGTTCGCACACCCCAAGGGCGACCAGCTTACCATGCTCAACGTCTACCATGCATTCAAGAGCGAGGAGGCGCAAGCAAACCCGAAGCAGTGGTGCCACGACCATTTCCTCTCTTACCGAGCGCTTCAGCAAGCTGACAACGTCCGTCTTCAACTCAAGCGCATAATGGAGCGCGAGGAACTTGAACTTATGTCAACGCCGTTTGAGAACAAGAAGTACTACGAGAACATTCAGCGTGCGCTTGTTGCCGGTTTCTTTATGCAAGTTGCCAAGCGCGATGGTAACGGCAAGAGCTACATCACCGTCAAGGACGAGCAGAATGTTCTCTTGCACCCAAGCACTGTTCTTGCAGAGGACAGTGAATGGGTCATCTACAACGAGTTCGTCTTGACAACCAAGAACTACATCCGAACAGTGACATCTGTGAAGCCGGAGTGGCTTATGGTGAGTGCATCCTTTCTTGCTTTGATAAACGTTTTACTAACCTCTGCCAGGATATCTCACCGAACTACTACGATTTGTCACAGTTTAAGAAGGGTGAGATCAAGACCGCCTTGCAGCGAGTGGTTACCAAGCTCCAGCGAAAGGAAGTGGAGAAGGGAGGACGGAGATGATTGACTCCGGGTGCACTGTGAAAGCGAATGTAAAACAGGATTCGAGGGCGAGCTGAACATTGGCAGCATCATAAACGTCCTATAGACGGCGCTTGTATCTGGTGTTATGCCGCTTGGCGTTAGGCTTGCTTGTGCATCGGATGACATGATTGAAGATAAGGACGCCGCTATGAGCGTCATTCTAATTGAATCCTTATGCATCTTCATCTTTCACCCTGACTTGCGGTATTGGCTAACCGCATACACGCTAGCGTTGACCCCCACATGTCGGTATCTGCGCATGCCGACATCTCCAACTTTTTCTCAGCTCACATTTCCGCGACAACGCGATCGCAAACCACATTACGCGACGGAACAGGCTTGGTCTCTCTTGGAAATGGCCCCAGTACAAAGTGAAGACGCGTCTTTGTTTCACATCGAGCGCATATCGCAATACGTCTGCATCCCACCCTCGTGTCTCGCGGATCCCTTCTCAGCAGTATGCGCAACAGTACTATCACCACTACTCCTCACGTACTTCCCACCTGCGAAAGGCGTAGTACTCGCATACGAAGATGTAGACCTGCAAAGTACACCACCCGCCGGACCGGATCCGAAGTCCAAGAACAGATCACAGTCACAACAACGAAGCGAATCCAGTTCCAACGACAATGCGCCCGCTGAGCCACTGCTACTCAGGCACGTCGATGAATACGCAGCGCCGTTCCTTTGGGTGACCGCCTCTTTCATCGTATGGCGCCCAGCCCGAAATGCATACCTCACCGCGCACATCACCGACCAAGCGAAGACGCATCTCACACTCGCACACCTCAACACCTTCCCCGTGAGCATACTCAAGGAATGTCTGCCCTCAGACTGGTCGTGGCATTCGGAAGAATCCGGTCAAACGAAGCAGGGATGGGATGGCAAATTGTCGGACGAGGGAGGCTGGTGGGTGAACGGCGACGGAGAGAAGGTGGAGGGAGAGCTACGAGTGAGGATACGAGACGTTGAGGGTAGGATGGATGGAAAAGGAAAGGGCAAGGGCTTCTTGCGCATTGACGGAGCGCTGGTTTCTGAGGAGGAGATCAAGGCGGCACAACAGAAGGCTGGCAAGGGGAAGAGGAAGGCTACCACGAGCGCGATGAAGGCACAACCACAGAAGCAGGCGGAGGGAGAAGTCATGGAGATCGATTCGGACTAGGTCGTGGGTGATGGGACACTATACGGATCTATCTGGTCGCAAACTCTGCGATATGCGCAGCATATCATTCGCATCAAAACGGCGTTAAGGCGTTTAAAAACAAAGCAAGATGCAAATTCCAGCATCTACGATACCACACAAATATAACAACCTTCATCAAACGCTCCACTTCCCGTCCCTCGTGAGCACAGACCAATCAGACAACGCACACCTCCGTCTCCCGCCGCAGCAAACCGCGGCAAGCACTCCCCATCAAACCCATCGCCATCCCACCTCCCTCCCCAACCCCCCAATCCAACCACCCACACTCTTTCACCCGCCATCGTACACTGTATTATGTCTTCATCCAAGAAATCCTCCTCGTCATCCTCCCGCAAATCACGCTCCCACGACCCCATCTACGAATCTGGATATAGTAGCAGCAGCAGCAGATCCTACGGCACGACGTATAGCAGCATGTCGCCTTTCTGGACGATTGGCACGCTGTTGGGGGCGAGCAGTGTGGCGCTGGGTGCGTTTGGGGCGCATGGGTTGAAGAGTCGGATTAGGGATCCGGGGGCGTTGGCGAATTGGGGGACTGCGGCGCAGTATCAGGTATGTGTCTTTGATGGTTGCGGTGTCTCGAATCAAAGGGTGCCTTTGAAATTGCGAGTAGTTCGTCGCTCTGTGTCACCGCAGTACCAATGGATGAGGTGCATCCAGGCGCAACATTTGCCCCTCTTCGCATTGGACACCACATCCCTTCTGTCTTTGTTGATCGGGACCTATGCTAACAATGGTTATAACAGCTCGTCCACTCCGTCGTCCTAACCATGACATCCGTCGTCGCGCCGCAAAACAAAATCGCCATGGCCCTCTTCACCGCCGGCATGACCATGTTCTCTGGAAGCATATACCTGCTTGTGCTGGATGCGAAGAAGTACAAGCAACTGGGGCCTGTCACGCCAATTGGCGGCGCTTGCCTTATCGCTGGTTGGCTGGCGCTGGCCGCGAGGGGAAAGATGGTTAGGCTACCTAGGAGCGCGTGATGGATGAGAACAAAGAATTGATGGACCAGGAAATGGACAGTTGTACAGATGAACAAAGCCTGCAGGTCTGGCATATCACGAGATGCATGAGATGATCGGTTATGAGCTTGATGAATAACAACAAATTGCTTCTGGCAAATTCTACAACGAGTCAAATCCTTCACCGTGCAACAACTCTTCACAAACACATCCTGAGATCAAAATAGCTACACCGATCCTTACGCGCCACCGCACCGCGCCCACTCACGAATGACTAGTTTCAGATCAAGATCTCTAGCTCCCATGACTCGAGACGAGCCGCACCCCACATCCGCAAGCCTAGAACATCATCTTCAACGTCCATCCCAACCAGCTATGTGCTGGCGTCCCGCTCTGCCTTTCTTTGTCACATGTTTCGTATTCAAAACTGTAGTCTGGCACCGAAGAACCGTTATGGCCCCCAAACATGTCCCATTATGACATGCTCCGGCACTTACCCCCCACTTAGATATGTAGCGTGTGCCGCAGGAAGCGGCTGCATAGGATAGCGGCTTTCTACCTTGTAAGAGAAGACTGCTCGGGAACTAGGGTAAAATCAATGTCTTCCCATGCGGCAGTATCGTTCTTTTCCTCACATTGTTACGCAGCATGGATGCAACGAGTATTGAGACATCGTCAATAACATGGCTGCCATCAGCGCGCCATATCTTGGGTCTCGCAGGCCTCTGGCTAGTGTTCAAAGTGCTAGAGGCCATCTACAATATCTCGCCGCTCCACCCACTGAGCTCAATCCCTGGACCAAGACTGGCGGCAGCGACGTACTTGCCTGAGTTTTACCACGATGTCGTCAAGTTTGGCTGTTATACGAAGGAGATCAGTAAAATGCACAAGGTTTATGGTGAGCTCATCACTAGCTATCTTGCACCAGCCCGCAACTGATCAACGACCTTTCTACCAGGCCCCATCGTGCGAATCAACCCCAACGAAGTCCACTGCGACGACATTCGCTTCGCAGACGAGATATACGCAACTGGTAGCCGAAAACGCGACAAGCCAAAGCACCAAGTCAACGGCTCTTCGTAAGCCACTCATTACACACATAGATGCAGTCTAACCAACGTTTGCTAGTATCTCACTATCCGGATTCGGCACCATCGACCACGACCTCCACCGACTCCGGCGCGTGCCCCTAGCAAAATTCTTCTCACGAGCCATGATCACACGGCTCGAACCCGAAATCCACAGCCTAGTCCAACAGCTCTGCGACAAACTACTGCGGCAATCCAGCGACAACGAACCCTTCGACATCGCCATGGCATACAGCTGCTTCACCTCCGACGCCATCTCTAGCTACAGTTTCGGCGAAAGCTTTGGGTTCCTCGACCAGGAAGGGTGGTACCCGAATTTCCGAGAGCCCACAGCCGCAGTCCTACGACCCGTTTTTGTGTTTCGGTTTTTTCCTTGGACAAGTAAGAGTGCGGCGCTCGCGACGACTTTTATCGATTATTTGCCGAAGGATATTGCGTTGATGGTAAAGACTTTGCAGGTTGATTTGCCGAATAGAGTGCTCAAAGCGAAGGCGGATCTAGACGCGGGAATCACGTACGACCGACCCACGATCTTTGCTTCACTTTTGCAGTCCGATCTCGGTGCCGGGGATAAGGGCGTGGTGCGCCTAGTCCACGAAGCACAAGCTGTACTGGGTGCCGGCACAGAGACCACGAGCTGGGCTCTGGCCGTAATGACATACCACCTCCTAACCAACCCCCAAATCCTCGCTAAGCTTACCCAAGAACTCGAAACCGTTGTAGAAGACCCGCTAAACCTCCCTGGATGGACAGTTCTGGAAACACTACCTTATCTCGGCGCTGTCATTCAAGAAGGACTGAGACTATCTTATGGCGTTTCTAGTCGTACAGCCCGTATTCCCACGGAGGAAACACTGCTGTACCGTGGCGAATGGAATAAGAAGCCTGTTGAGTACGTGCTTCCGAAAGGCTATGCGATCGGCATGTCGTCGTACGTTACACATCACGATGAACGCGCGTTTCCGGATTCTTATGCTTTTGCGCCGGAGCGGTGGTTGGATGAGAGTAATCAGAGGAGGAAAGAGCCGGAGCGTAGTATACTTTCTTGGTCGAAGGGGAGTCGCTCTTGTTTGGGGAAGAAGTAAGTGGATTGTGATTATTATGATTGGAGATGGATGGCTAACGTTGATCTTGTAGTCTGGCTTTGTGCGAGCTCAATCTGTGTCTTGCTGCAACGGTGCTGCGTGTGATACCGAAGATGCGATTGTTCGATACGACGGAAGAAGATGTGGCGTATGATCATGATATGTTTGTGCCGATGACGAAGGATCATAAAGGTGTCAGGGTTACTATCGAGTAGTGTAACAAAGAATCACTCTATAATATGATTGAGTTAAAATGCTCGACGCATGTGGAAAAGGTTCCTGTTCTTTGTTGATCATTAGATTCCGGATATCGCTTTTGATTTATGGTATCTCATACTGAAAATAATCCTTTGCGCCATATATGCGTTCTCCTCTTCTTTTCTCCACACACAGCATGCGCTCTGGCTCTTTCCGATGCTCTCTACAAATACTCCTTCTTCCTTCCCGTCCTCGTATACTGGTTGAGATGCCACTCAACATCCCCCTCCTTATTGTCCAGCGTACCCGCCCTAATTTCAAACAAACGCATGCTCATCCTCGGTCCCACTTCCGCCAGTTCCACAGACTGGTACCCTGTTTTGACAAAGACATGGTGCCTGACCTCAATCGTATCCTCGATGTTCTTGAACGTAACGAC